AGTCAGTGCAAGAATAATTGAGAACACCCAGTGCAAATTGTAGAAAAGAAACAGAAACACACAGTGCAAATATAGAGCAGTAGAATGGCAGAACACAGTCCTACAGCTGTTTCCAGCGGTAGCCTGCGTAAACACGCTGATCGATAACAGCAACAGTTCTCTTTCAGATGAAGCACCATTAAATTGTAAATTTTTATGCTAAGAAATCCAAGCTTTCATATACTATGTACTTTGGGTGTTTTTTAGTTACTGATAAACCCGAGAAAAAGCATTGCTTCATTATCAAGAAGTCCTGTGCCGTAGAAAATTGTACGGCGTCTCACAGCAGCATGCAGATCTCAGCATGCAGGCATAACTCTGCACAACACCGTCTGCACATAGAGACCAATGTTATTTCTGCTGCACCAAATACAGCTGCTTTTGATAAAAAAATAATCTTGTAGTATATTGTCCACCTCATACTGATAGTAAAGACGTGTAATTTGTGTGTTTATGATGTTTCGTTAAAGAGTTATTGATGCCGGAAGTCCGAATCTGTGAATATCTTTCCAACTTCACCGAAATACCCAACTACAAGTAAATGTGATACAGGATATCTAGATAAGATACCACATGTCATGTGTGTGCAGTTTTCTGAGTGAAGCAGTGGCTGATGCGACACCTTTCCTCATCTGATCTCATAATTATGAGATAGGGCGTCTAATTTTTTGTTTCCCAGTGAATGCAATGTGCTTCCGTATTGGAAAACAGAGCCATGAGATTTTCCCCAAGTCTGCCCTCCGTTGCCAGAGGAAGTGACCTCAGCAGCGACTGACAGCTTGACAGAGGAAGAAGAAAACAGACAGCGAAGTGAACTAAGGGATGAACTTATCAGAGAAATCCGTCTCCATCCTGATGTCTGGGCCAATACTGAAGCCCAAAACAGGGAGAACATAAACTAGGAGTTTCACTCTGTTGGGTGAGAGCGGTATCATAGACCTCCGCTGCTCAGACAGACATTAAAGGGAGGGTGACATTTGGATCAGTGTCTTGTTTGTGCTTTGAAACAGGTGTTTTTTTTTGTTGGTTTTTTTTTGTGTTTAACAGAAAAACTAATAGGTTATACTTTAGCAATCAACCTGCTAAACCTGCTTCCACCACAAGTAAAAACAACAATTCTTCAGTTTGTTTTGTTTTTATTCCTCTCAAAATAATAGTGAATGATGTCATGAGACATGCAGATGGTGCTCTGAATTAAGAAATAGTTTGCTAAATATTTATGGAGAAGCGTTAAATGTGGTGCTGGCAGGCTTCCTTGGGTTTTCCACAAGCACATGACTGTGTGTTAGTAACATCCTCATCCTGAAAATGACCAGCTGCAGGATTCGCACGTCTTTCCCGGAGATTTTCCCAAATCTGCCCTCCGTTGCTAGGGGAAGTGACGGCAGCAGCGAGTGACAGCTTGACAGTGGAAGAAGAAAACAGACAGCCAAGTGAAGCTGCAAGCGAACGGGAGAACTTCATCGAGAAATCCGTCTCCATCCTTATGTTTGGGGCAATTATGAACCCCCAAAACAGGGAGAACATAAACTAAGCGTCTCACTCTATCGGCTGATAGCGATATCACAGACCTCCGTTGCTCAGACCGACATTAAAGGGATGGTGACATTTGGATCGTTATCGAAGCAAGTGGGATTCTGGGGGATAGGAGGAGTGTGAATGAAGGGGGTCGTAAACCTGTTAAACAGCCTGGAATGTTTGCTGAGGTAACGGTTTAGCAGCCAGGAGAAGCGACGTTAGTTACTGAGGTCCAAACGAAGAAACAGAGGAGCGTCAGTTAGCAGCGACATGGAGCTGAGAGTGGGGAACCGATACAGACTGGGCAGGAAGATCGGGAGCGGATCCTTCGGGGACATCTATCTAGGTGAGTGACATTTGTTGTCCCAAACTGGCTCTGACGTTTATTAGCAGTTATTCCGTTGGTGCCCTTTTTTTGGCAAACTTTTCAGATATTTCTGACTTGAGATGAGAACAACCTGAATGTCAGTGTGTGTTAACCTCAGTGTACGTCATCAAGCTAGCAGGTACTTCCTCTCTCCATCCTGCTAACTCCTGTAAACTACTCACATTCAGAGGGCACAGAGCTGAGGGGAAATATTTATTATTCCTTATAAACATTACATCACAAATGTTCCTAAGCAGAGTGAAGGTGAATATAAAGGCAGCTCGCCCTTCCTGAGGTGGAGTATGTAACACTGATGTTCGTATAAATCCTTTAAAGTGAGGACATTCTGTCATTCACACAGGACACTTTTATAGTAGGGCCTCAACTGTTTTGATTAAAATATCATATAATAGAATAGTATTTCTTTTACTGGCATGACAAATGTGCAACAAAACACATTTACTGAAACAAAAAAATCAACTACTTGGACTTTGAGCCGCACAGTTATTAAATAGCTCTTATTTAGCAGCTTCAGTAAAGGTGCTTGTTGTGTACTTTTGTAGTAATCGTATATGTGTGTTTGTGTTAATAGCTACGACATCATTTCAGTTTCTTACACAAAGCTTTGTTGCACCATGTTGACAAGTTGTTAAACCTGGTGGCCAGAATAGGAACATGCTCTCATGTTCACTATGAACAACGGGCACACTAAGAAGGCTGCCAAAGAGGCAGAGGGATGGTAAACACTGTTTTTTTTTTTTTGTCCACTGGACCACCGATGTGGCAGCCAGTAGGCTACACCACTGTGACTAGACGTCTTTTTGGATGAGGGACAGGGTGAGCCAGCAAAAGACTGATGGCAGTATTAAGTTCAGGTCCTACAGGCTGTGTTTCCTCAACCCAAGGCTGGGCTAAGGTTGTTACATACTGTGTTAATTGTCTGTATGTGATGATAATTTAAACAACCACTAACAATAAATGAAAAAACATCCCGACCGCTGTGATGGATCAACATGAGGACAGCCACTATGTAACTAGGTGATGAAAAATACACTGTGTGACTTGCTCTTAGATTTTGACTTTTTGTGAAATTGTATACCCAAGTAAAAAAAGCTGTTTTGTGATTTTGGCACCCAAACTGTCTCTTTTGCTCTTTGTGATGTTTTACGATTTATGTTGACATTGAAATGTGGACAAAGTCCTCCCTAAATTACTTCACACTATTCAAAGTGCGTAGCTTGCATTTGCTGATCTGTTGACAATGTTATGAAGATAACATTAGCCTAACCCATTAAGCCTATCGTCTCATCATGTTTCAGTTTTCTAAGTGTGCTGCGTTTACTTTCACTTATGACTTTGAAGGACAGCGACCAAGCTAGGCCCAGTTCAACAAGAAAAATATTAATCATAACATTAGATTTGACAAAAAAAGCAATTGACACCGTGTTTTACATTGACACGTTAGACAGATAAGTGGGAGAGAGCTGACTAATTGGGAATTTTGCAAACATTATAAACGACTACAAAGGTTTTTTGTAAAGCTGAATCTTTAACTGATTTGTAACCATTGCTCCTTTCAGCACCAAAACCAGAAGCTGGTACTGATGGTGAAACTGAAGCAGTTGTGTATACTGAAGGAACCACAGCAGCCATCAGCCCTACACAGTCCTGGCGTAGACATCCCATCTTGATCTCTATTGTATCTCTTGGAACATGATCCTGTCCAAAATGACTGCTGCAGGGCACATAACCACACTTTACACTTTTCATATCAGATGTGACAGTGCAGACTGTTCACCTTCACAAAACTGGCCCAGCTAGAAAAGCAGCTCTGTTGTTAGGAACATGTTCATTCAGTGTCCTGACAGGCTGAAGTTTTTGCAACCTGTGCAAACACAAACATTCACAATGATGAAAAAATTATGAAATGTCAGGCAATTGTCAAAAATGACCAACTTTCTCAATTACAACTGTCCTGACTCATTACCACCTCTGCAAAGCGCGCTGAGGCAGGGGCGACTTGTGTGTGACGTCATGTGATGTGTTATGATTTTTAAAATAAGTGTCTCTTTCAGGCTGCCGCTCTGCCGCTACCACTAAAATTGACTAGCTAACAAACTCATCGTACACATGAGTTAAAGACAACCGCTGCACTATGATTTCAGCGGTATTTTCATAGTATTCGAAGCTACTACCAATGTCACCGAACAGTTACACAGTAAGGTTGATCAAAGGAGTTACCTTAGCTGCTCTGTGCTCGGCCCTAGAATTCTTTTAATCATAGTGTCATATCTCCTATGCATGCTTTTTAAAAATATTTTATGTAGGCTTACTTTTAAAACCCTGCACTGCAAACATGTATCCTTTATGGAGAAATGCTAAATATTATTTATGGCATCCTGCATTGTCAAATACTCATAAAAGGAAAAAATGGGATTTGGTCCATTAGCAGGCAGAACTTTGTTATTCAAGTTTTCAAATGTTTTTTTTGGATATAATTGTAGCTATCTATGTGGTTTGATGCCACTAGGTTGGTGAAGGTGTTTTTTCTTAATTGAGCTACACTGATCACCATGTGTGTTACATTTGTCTTTTTCCAGGCACAGATATTTCAGTTGGTGAGGAGGTTGCAATCAAGTTGGAATGTGTCAAGACCAAACACCCCCAGCTCCACATCGAGAGCAAGATCTACAAGATGATGCAAGGAGGAGGTGATGTATTGGCTAGCATGCTGGAATCCTAATCTCTGAACTTCTGTTCTCATCTCCTCATTTCCCCTCTCTCAGTTCATGTTCAGTCGAGATGCATGTATTCCTCTTTTCATGCATAATCATTTTTTTCCAGACCTCTTAGCACCTGTATTAAATCCACCACTGTTTTGCTCCTCCATATGAATACGCGGCTTCAGCAGCTAATGATATGCATTAGTCAACCAACAAAGGGAGATAGACTGACTTTAACATTAAATTAGCTCAGAGCCTTAAATTTTAGGGACTCTGATTCCACACCGGTGTAAAAAATAAGTGGTTGTAAGGGGTAAATAGTTTGTGAAGGCTGGCAGTGAAACAGTTAAAACACTTAACTGAGGATCCCCCACAGCTCACTGCACATGTGTGCACTTGTCTATATTAAGTGAACTACAGCAATTATAACCCTTTTTTTTATGTATTCCCCCATTGTAAGGCAACCATAATTAACTCAGCATATTTATCAAAGTAGTGTTATCATATTATAGAATATGTGAGATGAGTGGGTTGGTTGTTAGTAATGTTGTAATACAGCGCCACAGCGCCGTTTATTTTCTCGATATCACCCTAGATAGGAGAAGCAGCACAGAAAACTGTTGTAGTGGTGACTGCAAAGAATGCAGAGCCAAATCTTCAAATCTTCCCAGGCAATGCAACTATAGCCAGCTTCATTTCTTCCTCACAGGGGATATTTGGCTTTAGCGGGTGAAACACGTCATAAGGAGGTGTTGTTGCTGGCATTTTTGTATTCACATTGCATTTATTCTCCTGTTTTTGCAGTGGGCATCCCAACAATAAAGTGGTGTGGAGCAGAAGGGGACTACAATGTGATGGTGATGGAGCTGCTGGGGCCCAGCCTGGAGGATCTCTTCAACTTTTGCTCCCGCAAATTCAGCCTCAAGACTGTCCTCCTGCTTGCTGATCAGATGGTGACTGCCTACCCAACAGACACACACATGCATATATGTTTACTTTACATTCTGACCAGTGTCCAATCCAGAGCAGCTGAAAATGAGAGCAGAGAATGTTTCATTGTTTATATGGGCATATATCACTGTGTCAGTGTGCTGTATGCCATGTTTGTAAATTATTCTGTTTTTCAGTTGCGTCAATACTGCAAAGACATTTTTTTTTTTTAAATCTTGCAGTCAGACCACTATGTATGAATCAGAGGAGATGGATGGCATGTCCAATACTGAGCTTTTCCTACAGAAGGGGATGCCTATAGTACTAGTAGCCAGCAGAGAGAGTCTGCTCTATTTATCTAAATAACAAACCCTTAAAGACTGCATTTATGAACATAAGACAATTGGGGGGGAAAAAATCTGAATTCATTTTCTGCAAATATCTGGAAAAATTTATAGGAATTTAACAGGACTTGGACACTTAAACAGGCTAGTGATTTACACAGATTAACATAATAGTCATCGGGTCTACTCAGTAAATCCTTTAATCTGCCCTGGTCTTCCTCTCAAAATGTGACATGACTTTGATGTACGGAATGAGCTGTCCGAAAGAGGGAAGCATGTGGCGGTTGTGCTAGGGCGGAGCTAATGCATACATATTTGCATGGCTTCGTAGTGTAACTGTCTTGTATTTTGTTCTTCTTTACTATAGATCAGTCGCATTGAGTACATTCACTCAAAGAACTTCATCCACAGAGATGTAAAGCCTGATAACTTCCTGATGGGTCTTGGCAAAAAAGGCAACCTGGTCTACATCATTGACTTTGGCCTGGCTAAAAAATATCGCGACGCTCGCACACATCAGCACATCCCCTATCGCGAGAACAAGAACCTGACGGGCACCGCACGCTATGCCTCAATCAACACACATCTTGGGATTGGTAAAAAAATAATAATAAAAATACACTCATAGACCGGTTTGATAATAAATCCAGTTAAGATCAGAATTAATTAACCCATATATATATATATATAACTATACTGCATTTTTTAGACATTGAATTTAAGTGCAGTAACATCCCTTTTCTTCCTCTTATCTTGGTCTTTGTCCTGTTTTCTTCTATACAGAGCAGTCAAGGCGTGATGACCTTGAGTCCTTGGGCTACGTTCTCATGTATTTTAATCTGGGTTCGCTGCCTTGGCAAGGCCTGAAGGCTGCTACCAAGAGGCAGAAGTATGAACGAATCAGTGAGAAGAAAATGTCGACTCCTATAGAGGTGCTTTGCAAGGGATACCCCTGTGAGTCTACGTTTTTATAAGGCTTTCTTAATTTAAAACGATTTAAAATGATTTTGTTATTCGATAATGAACCATGTTAATCAAGAAGTCAGTCACATCAGCTGACATGTTTTCTCTCTTTTTGTCACAGCTGAGTTTGCCACCTACCTAAATTTTTGTCGCTCCCTGCGCTTTGATGACAAGCCAGATTACTCGTACCTAAGGCAACTCTTCAGGAACCTGTTCCACAGACAGGGCTTCTCTTATGACTATGTATTTGACTGGAACATGCTCAAGTTTGTGAGTATTTGCCATAATCTCTGAACCGTATAGAGTTGAAACATCAGTTACAATATGCTGACACATTGATAATTTAATTCAGATTACCAAGAGACCAGACTGATGCTTTTGGAATGAAATTATGTTTCTACATTTGGTCTTTTTCATGTTGTATTTTTGTCATATTCTTTGTCCTATGGCCTTTTTACTCTCTAACCCCATGTAATTTCAGGGTATTTTTGCTTGTTACTCTCTTAGAACGCTGCCAAGAACCCTGATTCATAACCATTTTTTCTATTTGTGACTGTGTTGGTTAGTCCACCACCTTAGATATCCAGAACTATTTTATAAATTAACATGAGGTTTGGTCCAGATATCCATGTTAACCATAGCATAATTGAAGTTTTCACATGACCTGTGAAGTATTTTAACGTGCACCTGCTTAACCCACTGGTGCTGTCAGTGTGATAGTGTTAGCCTGGCGACTTTCACAAGTGTTTTTACAATGTATTAAATCTACCTTGCAGAACAATATCCTGCCTGTTGACCTTTAGGCATGTTTTACAAATCTTTCTTTTGATGACTGTTTTGTTCCTGTAAAATACAGGGAGCCAACCGTGCAGCAGAAGAAGCAGAGAGAGAGCGCCGAGATCGAGAGGACAGGTTGAGGCACAGCAGGAACCCAGGAACCAGAGGAATACCTGCTGCATCAGGACGACCACGAGGAACCCAGGATGGAGCTCCGCCTACCCCGCTCACTCCCACGTCACACACAGGTCAGTTCTCTCCAGCCTGGCTCAGCAAATGTATTAGTCTAGTGTGAAGTGTTCAATGACTTAAAGATTACAGTCCTCGAATTCAGCTATTGAAGAAGTTATAATGAAGATGTTTGGATGTTTTTTCAATCAAAAAACCCAACAAGATGTTTTATGTTTGTGATATCCAGCAAACACATCCCCTCGACAAGTGTCTGGTATGGAACGTGAACGAAAGGTCAGCATGCGACTGCACCGCGGTGCTCCTGTCAATGTGTCATCTTCAGATCTAACAGGGCGGCAGGACACCTCCCGCATGTCAACCTCACAGGTAAAAGACACCAAACTAGTATAAGCATGGAGAAGAAACTCTCAACTTAGTATATATAACTTAACCTCACCCAAGCCAGGCTTAAAGTGAAGGCCTCACCTGGCAGGAGAAGGAAGCTGTGCTTTTACTTTGAAGTAACCAGTCGCATGTAGAATTACATGATGTTTGTTAAAATTCATGGAAATCTGTATCTTGCTTCTAAATGAGAATCGTTCGACAGTAATCAGATTAATGTCTAATAATCTCAAAGATTTTTTCTCTATATAATTTACTGATGTGTAGCACTTTGCGCAGGACCAAGATCCAGAGCAGCAGAACAGTCTTTATACTCATATACAGTTTACAGCAGCAGGGGGTATGGGCCTGTGCAAAATCATTTTAACTCTCAAATGATTCCAAATTTTAGAACCTCTCAAAAACTGCAGTGATTCTCGGTTGAGTAGTGGAGTATGTCCTCTTAATATCAACCAAAAACAAATATTTTACACAGTCTATAACACGGGTACAAAACTAGAAACCTGGTGCAACAAAAGTGAATGTACCTGTGATCACAAGACACATGCAAGATAGAACAAAACAGTGGAAACACTGTTGCAGCAGTGATTGGAAGCAGGGCTCCAGACTGTAACCAAAGTGGTTGCATTTGCAACCTTTTTTAGAGTGTGCAAGCTAAAATGTCAAATGGTTGCGTTGGTGCGAGTGAATGATGATCATAAAGCTGTATTGGCGTTGCTCTAACTGACGCAGGCAGCTACTGCATTCACCACAGTGGTGAAAAGTAGTACTTTATTAACTTCAGTGGCTCTGTCAGTCTATCCTTGGCTGGTGTGTAAAACAAGCTGTCTAGCTGCTGTGTGTTAAAAAGATGAAGTGATCTGAAACTGATTATTTAAAAAGAAAAAGAGGAAGGAGCAGGTAGACAGAGAGGTCCCGACTGAGACGCACCTGACGATCAGAGTGCAGGTGCAGGCAGGGAGATACAAACTGAACCAGTAAAGGGAAAAAAGCAATTGATTCAATTACAATGGCTGACGCAGTAGTAGGACTGAAAAATTAAATGAGCAATAATAACAAGCGTGATTTTAAGCTTCCCGCCATTATATGAACACAATCAGCTTCTCATGAAATGCGGAGCACACCTACATATGCTGTTTTCACTCAAAAATGCACATGTAGAAAAAAAAATCACTCTGTTTCCTCTTGGACAAATCTGATATTAGAACGCCCTGTTTTACTCTTTTCAAAGTAATTTTTGGTCACACATCTGTCTGAGTGCGCTGCAGCCACCTAACAGCATCTACTGCAGCCTGTACTGTGGGGCGTTTAGGGAACATCGGTACATTGTAGTGTCTATTGATAAGCGAATGTTTCGCCTGTGACAAGGTGGGAGGTGGAACAAGCCATAGTACCGCTAATCAGAGGTGCAGCATGTGTCCTCCTAAAGTGACGCAACGGACCGTGCACTACTTGCAATATCTACCGCTGAAAAATTACGGTCAAGTGTTTCCGACTTGGCACAGGGGATAAGAATGAAAATCTGAGTTTCTGTGACAGCTCAGACGGTGAGAAGAACACTGCATAACGTGAACCTCTATACACAACATCCAAGAAAAACTATCCTTACTCGCTCTTTGCGATTAAACTGCAAAATGAAATTTTGTTAAAGAACATGAAAAGAAGCTCTGATGGATATTGGGAGCACATCATTGGTCGCAAATATGAAACAACACAACCCTTCCAGCAAAGAACAGTTGGAAAAAATTATCTTCAGAAATGTGTGCAACACCGGTGTCCTCCATACTAAGGGGTACTGAGTCTGCGATTAAAAACACTATGAAATATTGTTGAAATGTAAGATTTTGGCTCAGTAATGAAAGGTTTACCGACCTTTGTTGCAGTAAGTTCCTCCTGTGGGGCGTGTACTTCTAGTGTGGTAAATAAAAACTGTAAAATTTTGAATCATTTGACATTTAAGTGATAATGCACAGGGATGTACTCTGTTCTGTTGTATACAACACCCCAGCCTCATACTTCTCAATAAAGGGAAGTCACGTGCTGCTCCTCAGCCAATTTTCTCCAATTGTGTGGTTGGTGCAGGATGTGGGTTCTGACATATTGGGCCTTCTCTCTCCCTTCCCCCAACCTCAGAATAGCATTCCCTACGAGCATCACGCCAAGTAGACGCTCGCCACGTCCTTGTGTGACGGAGGCAACACTGGGTGAGTCCTGTCCATAAAGCACCAGGGATGCATGAGTCCAAACTCCAGTTCTGCACTGGGCTGCCTTGTGTTTCGTCCTAGTTTGAGCATGTTTCACTTTCAGCCTAGTGTCTGCCATTTTGTTTGAAGTAAGTTCTCTAAATAGACAAAGGGCACAAGAAGAGAACATGGTGAGCAGGAGATTAGATCAGGAGCATTAATAGGCTCATGCCAATACAAAGAAAGTTCTACCTGGCATAAGGAATGAACACCACATTAGATGCTCAGTCCTTCACCGACAAGCTGGACATCCAGTTTGTTAACAAGACTCACCTTGAACAAGAGTATATTGATATCATATTGCATTATGCCACCACAGCCATCAGATGTCATTGGCTGTTGATGACATCATAGCTGCAGTTTACCATCCTACATCTCACTATTACAGGTACATTGCCATACTGGCTGTTTTGTGACCTGGAGAATGCAGTCCTCTGAGAACTGGAGTGGATAATGCATCACGGTGCATCTTGGCCTAAGAATATAATTCCCTCACTGTCTACTCAGAGTTGACGTAATGGCCTTTTTTATCAGCTCTGTGCCTTGCTGCTTGCCCTGTTGGTTTGATATCGATCAGATGTCAGGCCTACGGACAAAGCCTCCAAAAGGAATCTATCCTACCTACTCCCACCCCTCCATCCCTGCTTGGTGCAGTCTAGTGTTCTTGCGCTTGGTTTTTCACACTAAACAATTGCATGATATGACCTTGCTTGTTTAAGAGTCAGTATCTTTCTTGTGGTCAAAGCATGTCCTCAGCTGTTCACAAAAGGAAGGTTTTCGAAAGGTAAAAAGGTTGTTGAAGTAGTCACATGAACATTAGTCAAATTATTCTCTGATCTTCTTTTTAGTGCAAAATTCTCTGTTTGAGTATACAGGCGCTTTGTGTTTATTTGCTGTTATGCAGCGGAACATGTCCCGGTAGCTGCAAATTCTGTTGGTTTATTGCCATAATTAAACACAATAGCAGAACGCACTTTCAACACGACCCAGTCTGAATTGCATGTTCTTGCATTAGCAGACAGACGCACAAGCCACATACTTGGAGTTGAAATGGAGTTGTTCTGCATTTTAACACCAATATTTATCCATCTCAGAGAGCAAAATACACAGTTTACTAAACACCTTTCACATTTACTACATTCAACAGATTTTTACATTGATTACAAACTGAAATAGTTAGAAAAATACACCTTCACCGAGATGGAGACTGTCTATAAAAGGTCAGATTGCGTAAGTGTTGTTAGCTGTAGTAGATAGATTTTCATCACACATGGACAGATATTTCACTGTTTAGAAAACAGTCAATAAAATAGGCTATTGTTATGACAGTTAGAAAAAAACTGCTATTAGTTTAGATTCAGTCTTGTGTTTATTAGTGTACATATTCTGCATCACTTGATGTATTGTCCAACCAAATGTGTAGGTGTTGGTCTACTCCTCAAATACGATTTATGAATTGACGTTGCTTATTAGCTGAAGACAGCTTGTGATTTCGTCACTTCCCTATTTTGTAAAAGCTAGACACCAACGCCATAAAAGTATGCATAAAACATCCCACTTCCTTTTAGCAACACTTTGAATTGAGCTTTACAGGGTAACTGTTTACAAAAGTCAATCCTCATAAAGGTAAACTCTAGATTTACCAAATGAAATAACAGATTTGTCAAAAAAAAAAAAAAGCAATTACCTCTAGAAAACCAGTCGTAGATATATTTGTCCAGTCACAAATGCACAGTTTGTGATGTTGTTTTTCTTCTGTTTGTTTGTTTGCTTTTTCAGTGACATATAGTATATGTGAAACAATCTGATCTGTGAAACTTAGAGGAAAACATAGCAGAATGTAGAACTTTGACTGTGTGGCTCAACAGGTTCAGTTTATGGTCACTGTGATGTGAGAGGGGAAAAAATTAGTTTCAGCTGTTCAACTGTAAGTGATAAAAGACATCAATTCACAGTTGTCATTCAGTATAAAATACAGTCTTAATTTCAGCTGAAACTATCGTATTTTACACTGAGTGACGACTGTCAATTGATGCCTTTTATCATTTCGTGTTGCGGGTCTACAAAGGGATCTCTTCACAGACCACGGAGAGGAGGAACAAAAACTCTTTCAGCATACTTACTTGCTTTGTTTTGTAATAGATGAACAAAATCTGAAAGTTATCTTCCCCTCACAGCCTTGTTCTAAGTTTGTAAAGTATATTTAAAATTGGTTGTAAATGGAGTGGGTATTGTACAAAATCTGTTTTAATGGTTTTGTGGTTGACTTCATGAAATGCCTTTATGCATTTGCCAGAGTGTAGGAGTCACTTGTGGTGTCAGGATTTTTTGCTGTGTTGCTGCATGAGCGGTTAACCCATCACTGGCTTTTAACTATTTCTTAATTATTTATCCAGCTCTACCACCACTGAACACCTTGTCCTTGACTTCGTTTTGTATTTTAATAATTTTTTACACATTTCTAGCTGGATGCTATAACCCCTCTTAAAGCTTTGGTTTATTCATCTCTGCAGCAGTGTGTTTTCTATGAAATTGTATGAATTTATCCTGTAGCTGACCAATTGTTTGAATAGTGGGATATTTGTGATTGACACCAGTCTGCCATTCCTGTTTACAACCTTGCAGCAGGTCCCTCAGAAACTGTGCAGGTTTTTTGAAAATGTTTCTTATGAGGTTAACATGTTTGAGGTGACTTGGACAGTGCTAGACTGTATGTAAATTACGAGACTTTACGTTTTTATCCAAAAGCCGTGGGATTACAGAAAAGTTGGCATGGAAAGCTTAATATATCCTGTGATGTAGAACAGATTTAGGGTTGCATTTTTTTGACCATCTTGTTTCCTTTTCTGTGTTTCCTATAGATGGTGTCTGGTGTACCACCTGCTGGTCTCCATCTACTAGCTCCTCGATGAGCCCCCACAATGCAACCTGGCAGATCAAGCCCTGTTATCTCAAAGCAATCTGACACAATAATACTACCACCACCATGAATTTGTACTACTTCAGCTACACCTGCACAGCTCTCAGTACCATCATTTTTACGTTTCTGTGTATTGGTCGGACATCCCAAGACATTAATGAGCATTGGGCTTCAGGACTGTTCTCTATTTACTTTTCAGGAGACATTTGCATAACCCCTTCCCAACCACCCCCCCTCAGCACCACATTCTGAGTGGGCAGTCCAAGGCCAACATGGCAACCCAGCAGTCTCCTCTAGGACACTGACTGGCTGATGATTTTTACGTTAACACTACTGGCTCGTTCTTCCTCTGTGGAAACATTCATCATTAATGACAGTACATTTCCACTGTCACTGTGTTCATACCTGGTTAAGGCAACAGCTTTCTTCTCCTTTTTGCTGTAAGGAGTCTCAAGCTGAACCAGCAGCTTTTAATTTTAGGTATATGTATGGGCAGATTTGGGAAGTGTTGCTATTTTTGGTATTTGCAGTTTTCATTCCTTCTTCTCATCAGTCAGTTTTGCTGTTTTTAGTAGTCATCACCCTGCACTTGATTAACTCTACAGCCATTTGTATTAAATAAAAAGAAACAACTTCTTTGCATGTGTTAGAGGTGAGCCTTCAGAGTCAGTCCTGAAGGCTCAAGTGCTAGTTGAATTCATGAACATACCAAAAAATATGCTTTGGTGGGGCAGGAGGTTGTTTTCACCCACTGAGCCCTGTTCCCTTTCCAGTGTTCTGTACAAAAGAAGTGCACTATGTTGGGGGTAAGGGCATCATCTGACGCATTTTACCAAATGCTCATTCACTGTGTACAGATAAGCATTCTTGTTTTTCTTATTTGTATTATTTTGAAGCTGTGAAACACTTGTAATATTGATATGTAAATGTTTCCTCTTGTTTTATTTTCACTGACCTTTAGGAATGGGTCTGAACATGGCTTGTAAGCTTGGTCCAGAGCTGCTGCAAGTCGGGCCTGTCATAAGTGTAGTAGTCTACCATCAGTCTGCCCCTTAAGAGCCATGGAGTTGATATAGAGTCGAGCGCTGTCAGTAGATATGTTGCACTGAATGTGAAAGATTCTGTATGACATGCTTTCTTGGAGAATATTCTTGAACATATATTGAAGTGAGAGTGGAGAACGAAGCTGACCATCAGCCTGTGACTGGCTTTTCCAGCAATGGTGTGTTGGGATTTTTATATTAACTCATCTGACACTTGGCAATAACGAATAACTGCTATGGCTGTCAGAATGAAATGGCCTGTTGTGATTCATTCTTACTGCTGTTAAATTTTTATAGTTTGATTTTGATCGTTAACCTCTTTGTTCTGCTGCTCTACACTTACTGAATTATGGAAGCAATCGGATCAGCAAGATTTACTTTCTTACATTTATGTTTGCCACTGTATTTGTGTACTTTAACTGTAAATAAACAAGTCACTTGTACCTTTTTTTTTTTAAATCATGATTTTATAGTACCTGTGAATGAATGATTCTGTTCATTCCAGAGACCAACAGGAGTGTTTGTTGAAGAGATTTTAGAGGGCAAAACAGTGTTTGTCTGAAGAATTCAATCAGCAGTACACAGCCAAATAGTAGAAATAGCAAACTGAAACTGCTCTGTTACTGTAGTCTGTCTAAAAAGCCTTCAAACTGCCACAGTTCGTGCTGAATAGAACAAGATGAATAATGTTTCTCAGAAAATATATTTATTCAGGCCAAAGAGACATTACATGTCTGTTGTGTGGACATCACTCAGAACAAAAGCAGCATAACTGCGGCAGATGTGTGCTACCTTTCTTTACCCAAGCAAGTCGTGCTTGCTGTCTAGTGTTTGCCTGTTGATCGTCCGATCAAACATGCACACACGCAGTAGAGCACACATTACAGTATCTGTCCTGGTAGCAGTGTTGCAGCATTAAGCAGTGCATCAAAGACAATGTAGGCAATACATTCATCAACTGAGACTTAACATTCAAGTTTGTTCAAGTATTCTACAGACAAATGCAACAGGCAGCGACTGGATGCATGTTCAGTGTCACAGCAATCAAGAACACATCAAAGATTTATTTGAAATTGCACCCCAAATGTTAAATGAATTCCTACAACCTCTTTTTGAGTGTGGTCCTGTTGTTGCATAACTTGCCAATACAAAAAATAAGTCTGTAAATAAATAAGGCAAAAGAATGCAACAACATGTGAAATTTGAGTGTTAACTTTGGACCATTACAACGTTCAGCCCCAACCTTAAAACCACCTGCCTAACATTGTGGAGAATCTCCTGCTGCTACAACAACTCTGGCCGACGAAGGCATGAACTTCACAAGATCAGTTCCATAAAGTGGTTTTATGTTTACGCTACATGTCTCAATCTAAACCACCCCAACAGAATGATAATAGCTACATAAATAGTTACAGTATGAAGGCACATAGTTAACCAGAAATGTAATTCTTCTATTCTCTATTTTTCTGAAAGGTAACCAGTTCTTAATTCTAAAACCATTAAATAATTTCTATGCAGGTACACCATCCCTTTTTTTGTGTAGCTCCTCATTCAATTTCTTTGCCACATATCATCATCAGTCATTATTGTGTATCCTCTTGGTACACAGTTTGTCTCATCAACAGTCTTCATAATGTTGTCTCAGAATTCTCCTCCCCCACCTCCTTCACCACCATCACATCTTCTCCCCCTTTCAAAGCATTGACCTTTCCATTGTCTTTTCCCTTTGACTCCTCTTTGCTTTCGTCATCTCCCTCGTCTTCCACCCTGCCGTTGAGCCCCACTTTCTCTGCAGCATTTACGGCCATCTCCATCTTTGCATCTACATCTTCATTTTTCTTTTTAATGCAGAAGAAATTACCCAAGGCCATGACAAAGGCCGACAGCGTGACCTCACAGCCCGCCAACAGGAACACGTACATGTACTGGTGTGTGGCATCAAGAAGGCGACCTAGTTGACAGTACAAGAATATTAGGGTAATTAGTAGCTTTACTCTTAAGGTAAAACACATTCCCTTCACTAAATACTACAAGGAGGACACAAAGAAAACTGCAAGGTACCACTGTAAATAGTTACAAAATGACAGTGAATAAACTGAATATTTGTGTCCATATTTATAGCTAGAAAGCTACTGTTAACAGCAGTTAACTTTTGAATCTTTGTCTTTGCCCTTGTTATGGGCTACAGTGTGAAAGTAGATGGAGTGGCTACATACACGTTAGTTTTCTGTTTATAAGGATGGCAACAAAATGGAAGAAACAAAAAAGAAACTTTCATGACACCAAAATGTAATGAAATACAAAAGAATTCCATGGCATTTAAATATTTTTAGATTTCGTTTTATCTTTTCTTCAAAATAGGGAACCTAATGTTTGCTGATGTAGAGCAAGATATTTTCCTCTCAGGAGAGACTACAAGTTGTTTCAGAACACAGATATCTAGGGAGTACATTTAGATTCTGATAATTGCTTCAAAACACAAATTAAAGGTAAAATTCAGTTTGTAAACCTTAGGTTAATTAGAGACTCTCTCATAAGTGAGGCAGCAAAGACATGCTTTCACTGACAGATCACCTGCTGTCTGATAAGTTGGTCTAACACACTGTATAGTTCTAAAACCAATAGAACTTTTATATAAACTGGCACATTAACATTAGGAAAGAAATCAATTTTCATCATTGCCATATTTTAAAGAGACATAATCTGCTTAGTTGTGAAAACCTGATTAAGTCCAACAATGTCTGTGTGGTTTATAACATTATTTATTGTTTAACTTGTCCTCCTCTTCATCAATTTTGAAATCTACTACTCGCACAGCTGCCATAGCTGCAGCTCGGATGAACTGCAGGATCCCATGCAGGTTCACTACAGTTGGTCGGGTTGTCTTTTCCTTGAGAGCGTCTCATCACTTGAATTTACTACCAGAATCAATTTAACAGTCATCATCTTAATATTCTTTTATAAATACTTTTAAGAAATGGCTTTATATATATACATATATATATATATCATTCTGTATCTTGTATATATTTAACAAGCTTATATTCATGATCTATGTGTGACTTAGAGTGAACTATGCTGTACTGTTTTGTATCTGTATTTTAGTTATTGCCAACATCAGACAAAGGGACTGCCAATGTAAATTAGCCGTTTTGGCAAACTCAGGTACATCTACAATTATTTGAAGGTTAATATATTTACATAGTTCCTTTTGAAATAAATAAATTGAAAGTGAAATTGATGGTTAGGATGCACGGACACTGAGTCCTGGCAAGCTTTAAAATGCTTTAAAAAAAGAAACAAATATTGCACAGTGTCAAAAAAATGTGCCCTCACAGAAAAGTGAGAGAAAACTGTCCCATTCATTCCCTCTGTGCTCTTACCTGCACCAGGAGGTCCCACCAGTACGGCAACAGCTTCCATCAGCAGCACCAGGCCGATAGCACTGGAAAACTTCTCTGTCCCTACAATGGCCATGAGGACCTCAAACTGGAGCGCTCCCACCATGCCATAGGAGATTCCAAAGAAAATACAGAAGACCACCAGACCTCCATAGGTATTTGCCTGAAAAGAGATTTGTAAACATTACCACAGGTTTCTAAAGGACATACAGGTGACTGAACGGGCTTTTAATTCAATATACACTATCCATCCATCCATCCGTTATCTATACACCGCTTAATCCTCACTAGGGTCACGGGGGGCTGGAGTCTATCCCAGCTGATTTAGGATGAAGGCAGGGGACACCCTGGACAGGTCCCCAGTCTATCACACAATATACACTAACCTAGCCTAACTACACAATCAGTTGAGTCATTTTTTAATTTGAATATTAGAGTATTTGCTTTCCTGTAAAATTAAAAAGTAACACTTTGTTATATTTAAAGTACAGGGCCCACAGCAGGAATGCAATGTAACAAAAGTATTTTTTGTAATATTTTGTACATTTACCTTTATTGACAGAGTTGGTTCTCCTCTGCATTGAGGATCCCAAATATCTAGAGCTATGTTCTGACATTCTTCAAACTGTTTTTTCCAGAACAGGTTTTCTAACTTGTGTGTCAGAGATCACAAGTCTATTCACTTTTGTTGTATTAAGTTTCTACTTTAGAGCCTGTTTAGTCAACATAGTCTCTCTAAAGTATTTGTTTTTGATTGTTCCTAATAGTAAATAGTCTATTTGTTAACTTGTATGCAATGCAGATATTAAGAGCTGATACAATTTTAAATTTGACATTTAGGTGATATTGCACATCCTATCAGTTGCTTCTTGGTTAATGTGGTACACTGTAACCATCACCTATATTTTAGCAGCATTGTCATATGCATCGCATGACAAAATCTGTCATTTAAAATAGTCTTTTTTCAGTTTTTACCAGGCTAACCCCAATCTTGAATTTGACGAGAGCAACAGACACCGTTTCTGCTAAATGCATGGAGCATCTACAAGACCTTAATAGACGTGCTTGTCTTTGTGGAGTACAGGCATGTTTTCTCTGTTCTCCTTGTAGTGAAGAAACCATTACTGCATTGTTACCTGTGATCCTACGAGGTCTGTGATTCCATTGAAGAGCATTGAAAAGCTGAACAGGTAGACACTTCTGGGCCGTACCCACTTCGTGCCTGCTATGAGTCCTGATGCGGGTCGGGCAAACATATCAACAAATCCCAAGATGGTGAGCAGCAATGCTGACTTTGTGTCCTCATAGCCGAGGCCTTTAGCATAGTTGACGACAAACACAGGTGGAACAAACAAGCCCAGCACCATAATGGATGCTGCTGTGGTATAGATGACAAAACCTCTGTCTTTGAACACGCTAAAGTCCAGCAGTTTCTTCTTTGGCTGGGGCTTGTCTGCAGCTTTGGGAGCGTTCTCTTCCAGCTCGAGGGGCTTCTTAGGGGGCAACAGAGGCCTCATGAGAGCACCACAAGCACAGCAGTTAAGCAGCATCCCTCCCAGTATGAGGAACCCCCCCCTCCAGCCATAGTGGTGCTGGAGAACCTGTCCCAGCGGGGAGAGGCAGCACAGTGCGACAGGGCTGCCCGCTGCTGCCAGGCCATTGGCTAGAGGACGTTTCTCACTGAAGTAGCGATTCAGCATTATCAAAGAGGGCTGGAAGTTCAATGCCAGACCCAGACCTGTGAGAGACAGAAAGGGACTGTCACAAAAACATTACATTTCAAAACACTGTGTAACAAACACACACACACGCACTGACACATATACTGATGATTCAAAATGTTACTGCCTCTCACAAATAAAGCAAACAATGGTGATTACTTTGTAAAAACAGAGCAACTCAAGATTGGGGATATTTTCAGTTCTAGTAATCTGTGTGTTAGATTTATGAGATTTGAGTTTTTGCAACTGCTATTGACAAAACTTTCAAAGTTCTTGAAATTTTCTAGACCAACTGATTTTCATGTCTTAAAGTCATGATGGATTACTGTTTCTCTCTAGTTGGTTGAGCAGATCTTGCCATAATATGTATGAATATACTCAATGGGGTTACAAGGCAGTACATAGGGGTGAACAGGGCTTTGCTGTATATCAACACTACCTTGGCACAACACAACTAATGCCCCAAACCCACTATAAAGCTCTTCAAGTTGCTTAAGATATTTCCAGTGAGGTGTCAAGCTGTCATTGAGGCAAAAAGTGGTAACTCTTGTGTTTTTATACTTTTCTGTCACTGAATAGTTCTGTTCACTCGTGTTCCACTCTGTGATAAATACTAAAAAGTAAAACACTAAGATGAGTGTCTGTGTCCAAATGAGTGTATTTTTTTGACTGGTACGTAGACATATTTCATCTTTCTTGGGTGGGATCACATCATGACCAGAACTACAGACAAGTCACCACAAGATGCAAAACCCTGGTAACCTTCAAAAACAGTTCACTGAGACAAACAAAGTAATACATTTGAAACTCTTTAAGTATTTGACCTTGATTTGGGAAAACAAAAAACAAAAAAAACCCACAAAGAAAAACAATACGACAACAGCATGATGCATGAACTCTGCAGTAGCAGATGTACTGATGGAGCTGCAGCTATTCTGATTTAAATTATTCTCTCTGTTAAAGCACGACTTCACTTTCCTTTGTTTTAAATTAATGTGGACTGTATGTTCTGACTTTACCTGTTATAACTCCAGTGCAGAGGTATATATGTATGATGCTCTTAGCAAAGGAAGCCAGAATCATTCCCAGTGAAGCGAAGAGCCCTCCAACCATCATCACTGGTCGACAGCCATATCTGTTCACCAACACACTGCAAAGAGGGCCTAAGAAAACACAATTCACCAGTAAGTACAGTGTACACATGCGCAGTCCATTGTTTTAGCAGTTTGATGCTGACAATTAACACTATTACACATGAGTGTCATCCTTGGGTACCTGTGCCATACAGCATGGCGAGCAGTATTGATGAGATCCAGGCAGTGTCGCTGTAGCCGACATCGAACTCTCGGATCAGCTCCTTGAAGAAGACGCTGACAGCTTTGGGGAAGGCGTAGGAGAACCCAGTGATGACAAAACACCCAACCAACACTGCCCATCCCCAGCCGCCGTCTGGTGCCTTGACCCCTGTAGGCCCGTCGTCCACCACTGCTCCTCCCATTACTCTGTCTGAGTGCTGTGCTGAAGTCAGTGACTGTAAACACAGCGGCAAAAAAAACAAGTACCCTTTAATCTCTGATGTCACTTTCAATCTTATGGTTGTTTTCTGTTCTGAAAACATCCGTCCATCCATCCATTATTGATACACCACTTAATCCTCACTAGAGTCGTGGGTGGCTGGAGCCTATCCCAGCTGACTTAGGGTGAAGGCAGGGGACACCCTGGACAGGTCGCCAGTCTATCACAGGGCTACACTCACATTACACACCTACGGACAATTTAGAATCACCAATTAACCTCAACATGTTTTAGGACTTTGTGGGAGGAAGCCGGAGAACCTGGAGAGAACCCACACTGCACAGGGAGAACATGCAAACTCCATGCAGAAAGACGTTCACCGGGACGTGAACCGGCGACCTTCTTGCTGTGAAGCAACGGTGCTAACCACAAAGTCACCTTGCACCCCGTCCTAAAAACATTTACGCTGAATTTGAGATTTATTTTACTGCATTACACTTCTATTTCAAGACTGTGCATAGAGTGACTGTTGCATTTGTTGCAGTAAAGCTTGTAAAGATGAGAACATGGCATCCGTTGATCTGTTGGAAAGATTTACTGTTGACAACTTGTCAGGGCAGGCGAAAATTCCTTCTCAGCCAGAGAACACACACGCACACACACGCACACACACACACACACACACACACACACACACACACACACACACACNCACACACACACACACACACACACACACACACACACACACACACACACACACACACACTGCATACATGCAGGCGAAGATTTGATTTGTGGTGTTTTTTTTTTCTTTTTCTTTTTTAAATATCAAGCTTTAGTTTAATATTTACTGTGTAATAGATTTAAACCCACAGGAAACACAATTAAAGCACAACTCACAAGGAGAACGGCATGAATTTGTAAAACTGTTGAGATGACAATTTACACTCTGGTTCAGACATTTGATATAGTGTATATCCTAAATTGCATCCTTTGCGATTTTCTAATTGCATTGTTTCAATTTGTAATTTTCTATTTGGAATCAAGCAGACTAACTGTTCAGTTTTAATTTGCAAAGAAACCTAACTTTGCCAGGAAGACTACAATCTTAATATTGCACAGCAACAGCATGAAGCATGAACTCAGTGGAAATGATCATTTTTGCTTCATCTGGTTACATTGTGATTTTGATCATATATTTTTGAAAATTGTTTAGCCCTGATGTAAGACTGTCCTGTAATTTCTGACATAGCCTATTACCTGTGCAGTGCACCCTTACATAGTTTCTCACAGTGGATTCATTATTGTACAGTTTGTTTAAAACTTCACTGTATCAGTTTCAGTGTAGTGTTGCACTAAGGACCTCCTTCTGGGGCAGTCTGTGGTGCTTTGGTGCTTACTGCATGGATAAAGGTGGCTTTAGCTTTTTCTAGTTAGTAGGATATATGAGTTTGTTTACCCTTTACAGAGAAGGTCAATATTAACACAGCAATAACAATAGGTCAGCCATACTGTAGTTTTTTACTCATGTGACATTTGTAAAGCAGAAGTATTTCTCTTACTTTTTTGATTTTAATTTATTAGATGATTAATTTTAAAAATAGAGGATACAAGTAAAATATGTAGGACCCATAGATGGAGACCAGACCACACATTAACCAAGAAGCAACTGATAACCAAGTGGTCTAACATCAATAGAAGGAAGCTGCTATAATAATTATTACAAATGATAAAAACAGCTCCATAACCTCTGTGAAAAGTCACATCTCTAAAAGAAAAAATGTGCAAGGCTTTCAGAATATTTAAGTATGTGTGATGTCCCCTTTTCGCTTCACTGAGAGCAGGTATTAAAACATGATGACATTATCTCAGCATGGTCTGACAATGTTCTATGGAGCTACCAGTCACAACGTTTGTGGTGTAATCACAAACTCTCCTACATGTCAAAGTGCACTTGGGAAGGACACAGAGTTGCTCTTGGCATGACAGTTGTGCTGCCATTAGTGTGTGTGTGTGTGTGTGTGTGTGTGTGTGTGTGTGTGTGTGAATGGATCCCACTGTTATAATACTATGTGCGTAGACTTGTTGACCACTTTAGGACTAAATAACATCATGTGTAAACAAAAACAAAAGTTATGAATATACTGGACAAACCTGCATGTGCTGCGAGTTCAGTTAAGGACACCATGGCCTGGAAATGACCCAGTAAAGATGGCGTCCAGAAAGTTGTAAGAAGCCCACCACTAGGGGGTGCAAGCAGGAACCCAGTGTAGCAGCAGAGTCTTAAATTACGCTGTGCTAAGCATTGTTAGCCAGCCAAGTCTCGAGATTTTGCTCATGTTTGTACGTGCGGCCTCTGTTTCGAATAAACAGTATTCACATCAGTGTCTGATGACTGTTTGGAGATTTTTTTCCTTATCGTAGAACTTTTTTGGGATCTGAAGTACCTAGCTAAGGATCGTTATTTCAGTTATATGTTTTGACGATGCTGCCTGATCATCGCTGGCCCAAACCAGGCAAGCCGAGTCACGACAACAAATCCAAATGAAAGGGAAGTGAAATGAACTCTGTTAGCACCATACTGAGCTGACCACACCGATCTGTTGGTTTACAGCCTGCATTTTTCCTGGCAGCATTGCTTTATTATCATTGTGTTCAAGTCATTCATGTCTTTTTGTGTGTCCTGTATATTCCTGTACGCTGCAGGTTTCTGACCTGTCTCTACCCAACGTCTAGACTAGTTTGTCTGTTCAGACTGAGGTTTCCAGCCATAACCTTATCTGTTGAGCACTGCCTCTGGCTAATCACTTTTACTTGAACCTAGATACAGTATGTTTACAGTCTGAAAGCTATGTCTCCTGGAACACACAACCAAAGTGGAGTTACTGCTATGCAAACATAGAGCAGTGCACGTATACTGACACAGAAACTATGGCACCACCCATATCATCCACACTATCCCCCTAACCCCAGTGTGACCCGTGCAGCATTCTGTCAGGAGCGCCAAGCATCACCACCATTACTAAAATAAGACCCTTACATTCTACATGCATGCACACAGCATTCACAGAGGGATCATTTCTCATTCCTGGTTCACGGATGAAAGGTACTTGGACGTTATCCTGCATTGTGTGAGAGACACCGACACAGGAAAACTGCAGAAACAATTTTTCCCTGTCTGACAGTGTCATTATTTTTAATTTAGATTTTTTTTTTTAAATGTATTGTACTTATTTTTATAATGGCTCCAGCAATGTGAAGAAACTTTACAAATATCTCTTGCTCTGTAGAAGTTGTAATAATTTGTTTTAGTATGTTGTTGACACTTGAAGCTGACAGAGCTCTCCAGCTGCAACTGTGCAAGTTCCCGAAGCAACCAGTAGGTGTCACGACTCCAGCAATAAGGACACGGATGAGAGTCCTTGACAACTTCCCTGACAACACAGCAGGTTGTTTTTACTGGAAAACATGACAAAGTTGAAAACATTGGTGTCCCTGGGAAGCAGAGTTACAACTTTGAACCAAAGTACAGCAAAAGTGCTTTCCAAGATGCTCCCATAGTAGAATAAACAAGATAAAATGCCATTTAAGGCCACATAAGGTGAAAAAAAAACACAAAAAAAAACCCTGCGCTGTGTTAAGGCTGTCTTAGTTCTTGGTAAATCAACATGAAGAGCTACAGAGCAACAGGTTGTTGTCATTTCCTGCAGTGTAGAGGATTTTGAAAACAGTGACACCTCAATAGCAGAAGGAGAGGTGAAATGTGCAGCCAGTAGCAGGTTTATATCTGCAATCTACATCCTGTCAGTCACACTTGTGGTGATGAAAACCTACTTTAAAGAACTCTAGAAACAGCAGTACAAAATACTGAACAATGATTGACTGATCCAGAAATCACAGCCAAAAGAAATAAACAAGAGGCTGGATGAACACAGTGTGCTGTCTTAACTAGGAGGGTATCCGGAACAGAACAAGGACACTTACACCTTACATGGAAAAAAACAGCAACAACAACAACAACTGTATTTCAGTTCTCTTATACTAGCAGTTCTGCCTGTATGAATATGTAATGATCAGAATGAAACATTGGGTACAGCAGTTTGCCTGCCAGAGGAAAAAAAAAAAAAAAGAACATGACTGAAACATTGTGCCACCCCATTCTGAGTGATGGTCTCAGCCTATAGAAATATTGTAGCACTTAATAATCTCAAGGAACAACCAGATGCTCTGACTGAAGCTGATGTGATGACATCATCCGATGCGACCGGCAGCACGTAGGCAGCGGAACTGCTTGTTCGTCACGTAATCCAAACTTTGCATCACCCACTTCACAGTCAGGAGACGAGCCAGTGTAAATGTACAATGATTGTTATCATTACTATTGCTATGTGTATTATTATTGTTATTATTTTGTATACCAGTTTAGTCTTTAAGAAACAACGTACTGAAAGTTGTAATCGAAGCTATATTTGTCCTGCTCAGTTTTACACTAACATAGTCCAGGTTAAGCATCACTGTTCCGCGGTGGATCAGCTCTCTGTTTCACTCAGTATATGTCCAACTTATATAAAGTTCTCCTTATATTTATTGTACAGACGGACACTCACGGTGCGTGCGGAGCGGAGTCGGTGAGCACCGAGGCGGAGACAGGTACATCCCTCGTGTCTGATCTTAAAAAAGCTCCAGCTGGACTGAACATTAAAATAGTGAATCACCTTTTTGTTCTAACAGCTGAAACCCCCCACAGCCTCAGCATCCCTAACACAAATGTCACAATGTCACTTTATACAATATTACATCTTCATCCATCTGTTACGCTCTCGGTTGGCTGACAGTCTGCCAAAATGCAAACCTGTTACCTGAGTGTCAGTGGCTAGTATATCAGACATTTCAAGAAGGCCCTAACACGGGAACACTGTAAAAATGTGAGAAATACAATTTTTAAAAAAAATAAGTAGCACGGTACCTGCTGGGATGCTGCTGTTCCAGAAGCGCTCCTTGTGCGCGTTTCCGTCGCTGTCTTTAATAAACGGTGGCGCGCACACAGGACACTCTTGCTGTTGTTCTCCAAAACTCCGCCTCCCACCCCTCTGACACGCGAACATCCTGCAGATGATAGAGGTGGGCGATGGTGCTCCAAATAAATAAGGGGTGCCAATAAGCTGCTTGTCTACGAGAACAATGCATCTTCATTTATAAAGTGATTCCAAAAAATCTAACAATATACCAATATCAAAAACACAAGATCAAAAATGCAACAAGATCAAAAGTACAATATAAATATAACAAGATAAAAAATATTGCTAGATTAAAAGTACAACAATATAACTATAACAACATCAAAAGTACAACATAAATATAACAAGATCAAAACTATAACAATTTCAAAAGTACAACAATATAACAATATCGTATTCGTTTTCTGCAAATATGGCAGGTTGCAGTGTTTGGGTCTACAGCTGTGATGCCAAGTTTGATCAGGAAAACGTACAAAAACTGCGATATTACACCATTTTTGAAGAAAAACCGAAGAGACATCAGACAACTCTAAAACCAACGTGAGGTGACTTCGGCCTGCTGGATGCCAGTTTGTGTTTTAAATATTTTACTCTTATACAACCCCGACATTTAGATAGAGAATCACAGTTTAGTTTATGACTGACCACCTGCTGTCTCCCATCCACCGACTGTGGCGCCCACACCTCACGGTACCACTGCCTGGTTGGAATTGTGAGTCTACACAAAATAAGACAAAGTAGGCAGAGTTAAACTATTTACAGTTTTCAATTCAGTATTGTAGGATAAGGAACCATTCTGTGTCGCTGTAGCTGGGGAACAAATTGACTGACGTACTGTTTCCATGGGAACCATCCACACCACAGAGGAACAAACACCAAAGTTAGCGTGGAGTGGAATAATGAGGTAAATCACTACATGTGCTGTTCAGTGTGAAGACCTATGAGCCCAAACGGCGCTAAGTTTGCGCATATGAGTGCTGCGCTGTTTTATGGTAAGCTAACATAAGCTAAGTCGATGCTAACTCTCCGTGAGTCTGTGTGTGTAAACGCCATCGATGTGGGACTAAAAGCAACCGTAAACCAAAGTATTGTATTAATCAGACTGGACTTCAGGGTCGGTCCAGGTGACGGAGAGTCAGTTCGTGTCGTCCCAGACAGCGCTGTTGTCTGTTTGGACCCAAAACTGAGTTCTGTCAAAGATTTTGGCTGAATATTCTGAGTTAGCATTTTTACTTTAAAACTGTCTTAGCTGGGAAACCATTTTAATGCTCCAATATCTCCACAAATGTAACACCCACAGGCACGGGATTAGGTGAGGATACAGATAAATGAGTAGGGGTGGAATCTTTAATCATTGGCTCTTGAAATTGAAAGCAT